TGGGGGGGTCTTTGGGAAGGATGGGGACGAGCCCTGGTCTTCCTGGGGGGTGGGGGGTCTGCTAAAGGAAGCCTTTCCTGTCCTGAACTCTGAGAGGGGGGTACCTGGATTTGGGGTGAAGGGAGGGACTTCCTGGGGGTGTCACCTAAAGGGAGCCTGTCCTGAGTTGAACTCAGGTAGGAGATACCTGAATTTGAGGGGGGGTCCCCGTGGAGGGAGGGGGACAAGAGGCGGGAGGGGGAGAGCCCTGATTGGAGGCGCCCCTTCCACTCCAAGATTCATTGGGGAAAAGTGACCCTGGGGGCAAGGAAGGGAGCTGGGTGGGTAGGTGGGCTCAAAGCCAACACCCCCCCGCCCCCCAAATTATTGACTGAATACACACACAGGCATTTTAAACCAGCTTCCTCCCCCCCCCCTTTCCCCCTCCTTTTGTGGTTTGGTTGTGGCTGGTGCAAAACCCCAAAATAGGTGAATTCCCTATTTGTGTGACCTCAGTCTTTTTTTGGGGGGGAGGAGAGAAAAGCCACAATTGCCCTTTAAAGGGAAGGCCCGCCAAGCTCCTCTCCCTTATTTGGGGGCGAGGGAACCCAAGGGTTTTTTTTGGGGGGGGGGAGGTGTCTTTGCACATTTGGGAAGGCGGCTTTTCTTGTGCAACTTGGGGAGTCAAGCCACTTTGGGAGGGTGACTCTTTTTGGGGTGGGGATGGAAAGGAAACAACTTGCAATGTCTTGGCTGGGCGGCGGTGGCAGAAAAAAAGAAAGGCTTGTGAAAACGACACCTACCCGCCCCCCCAAAAAAAGGGCAACAGCTGGATTTGAACTTTTAATCCCCCCGGATGATGGGTTTTCAATCGAGGGTGGCCGAGCTTGGTTACTTTTAAGACAGGTGGGACTTCGACTCCCAGAATTCCCCAGCCAGGTCCTCCCTTAGCCGCTGTTAAGGCTTGTGGACTTCAGTTCCCAGAATTCCCCAGCCAACGTGGGATGGGATTGAGCAACCTGAAAAAAGTGTGTGTGTGTGGGGGGGGGGGGTTAAACTTTTGCTTGGAAGGTAACTTTGGGGGGGTGGGTGGGTTTGCTTATGGGCAGCCACGTTAGTGGCTTTCCTTTCTCCCCAGAGATAGGTGGCCTTGGGGCCATTTGAGGAGGGGGGGTGGGGAAGCAGATACCTCAGGCTGGATTTGAACTCAGAGCAGGCTTTTAGGCACGGGAGAATCTGTTCAGAGGCCAGGAATCTGTGTGTGTGTGGGGAACCCCTGTGCAAAAGCCTCTCTTGGGGGAGACATTTATCACCCCATAGAATTGGGGACGTAGCAGCTCGGGACAAGATCGAAAGCAAGGGGGGGGGTGTCCCTCCTAAAAGTAGCTGCTCCCTTCCTCCCCCCCCCCCCCCAAAAGCTGATCACGTGGTGTGGAGCCTGTCTCTCCGCAGTGGCCGCTTAGCTGAATCATGCTTGGGGTTGGCAGGAGCCGACGGGAGGCTCCACGCTGGCCGGAGGGGCTGCCTGATTCTTCTGTTCCACAAAGTGGGTGCAAACTTCCTGCCTCCTTCAGCCAGCTCCCTCCTCCTCCTCCTCCTCCTCCCTTCCTCTTTGGCTCCTCGGCGGCCGCAGCAGCGCACAAGATCGGCAGCACGTGGTCGCGGTCGCCGGGCCTCTCCGGTGCCCCCAACGGCCGCCACCGCCGCTTACGGGCCTTTCGAGGAGCCGCTGTCAGTCAGTCGATGACCCAGACAGGTTGGCAGTGGGAGAGGAGGCTCCCAGTTGCTCTCTTGCAGGGAGGTGGGCAGGCTAAGGATCAGTCTTTGGTGTGTGTGTGGGGGGGCTCCTTGGCATGGCAGGTGAGGGGGAGGTGTGTGGAAGAAGGAGCCAGCAAGCAGCTGTGTCGGCAGCCACCACCTCATGCCGTCTGGGGCTTTGTCTTTAACGCGAGGTTTCCTCCCCGGGAAGAGAAGCGGGTTTTTCCAGCTCTGGTGTGTGTTGGGGAGGGCTGGCCTTCCCTTGGAGAGCCCCCCCGCCCCCCTTTTTGCGTACCCCTCTTGAGAGCAGAAGCCCACTCCGCAGGGCAAGCGGATCCTGGAGATCTGCCTTGGGAGGAAGAATAGGCCTGGGGTCTGTTCACTTCTTCCTTTCCAGGCCTGCTTTTATTCACCCCAAAAAGATTGGGGGAGAGTGGGTTTGGGGTGCTGAGGGAACGAGGGGGGGGGGGCCCTTCTACCATCGGTGTAATAGACTTACGCCTTTAAAGCCTTAAGGGAAGATTGTTTGCTCCATGAAGGAATTTCCCGATTTGCATGTTGGCAAGGTGGAATTTTTTTTTTTCCTTTTTGGGGAATGAGTTGAAATGAGCTCTTTGGGGTGTAAAGTCTTGTTTTTTTTGCTAAACTTAAGAAGTTTCTTTTTAAAAACAAACAAACAAAGGCTGACTCCAAAAACGAGCTTTTTCTCAAATCTGGTTGGCTTCCTCCTCCTCCTCCTCCTCCCCCCCAAAATCTGGCAGTACCAGATTTTACGACTATTTTGGTCTGAAGTGGCTCCTTTGGATTCATTCTGGGCCTCGAGACGTATACGATCCCCGGGCCTTGGAAGCCGCGAAGAGCAGGAGATCCCAAAATAGAGACGGGAGGATCTGTGCCAGCAGAAGGTGTGGTCTAAGTCGCCCTGGCTAAATCTTGGGCTCAGGTCGGCACGAGAAGCAAACTTCTGCAGGCTTATTGCTGCGTGAACGGGCCAACTTGCAGGCCGAAGAAAGTTAGCAGACAAACGTCAAGAGGTTTTCAGGTCACCCTGGTGGTAGTTGGCTCCGAGGTGCTTTTTTCAAAAGGCAGCTGCACTGCAGGTAATCCCCCAACCTTACAATAAGGTGCATTTAGTGACTGGTCAAAAGTTTTAAGAACAGCACCGAGAAAACTTGTGACTTACAACCGTTTTTCACACTTAACGGCCGTTGTGGCATCGCCGTAATCAGAATTCAAGCCGCTTGGCACAACTGTGTCCTGGGGTCGGTCATGTGATTCCCCTTTTGTGGCTTTCCGAGAGGCAAAAATCAGTGCCGGATTCGCTTAACGGCCGTGGGACTAAACTTAACCGCAGTGGCCAGAAAGGTCATAAAATTGGGGTAAAACCTAACAGCGTTTCACTTAACAGAAATGTTTTGCTTGAGGATTACCTGCTGCATATGTGTATTTGGATCTATAAAAATTGGGAGGAAGGTTGTAAAAACGGGGCAAAACTCACTTAAATGCCTCGCTTTTTTAACAACAGAAATTTGGGGCTCCGTTGTCGTAAGTCGGGGACTACCTGTGTGGCTTTTTTTAGTGGATTTGTTCGTTTTTTTTAAAAAAAATGCAGTCGTAATGAGATGGCTTGTGGGGGGGGGAAACCACTGGGGAAGTCCTGAAAATGATCGGCAGTGCTGGAAAAAGAAAGTTTTTAGGCGCTGGTTTTGCTCGACTAAAAACATGTCAGATTAATTTAGCTGTTTGTCTTGTGCTCTTCCTGTCCGTAGTTCCCATTCTAAAAGCAGGCTAGGACATCTACTTAAACGAGTCCCCAAACTTGGCAGGGGAATTCTGGGAGTTGAAGTCCACAAGTCCTAAAGTTGCCAAGGTTGGGGGCTCTGTCTTAAGGCGACATGCTCTCGCTGCCCCTTACCCCAAATAGCCCAGCATCAGCTGTGTGGGCAGGATTTCAGAGGTAACAGGTCAACACAATTGGAAGGGACCTTGCAGGTCATCTAGTCCAACCCCTCCCCGCCCAAGCAGGAGACCCCACACCAAATTTCTGGCAAACGGCAGTCCAGTCTCCTCTTCTCGAAAGCCTCCCACAACTTCTGAAGGCAACTTAGAACAGAGGTTTTCCCAACTTTCGGACACTGTTAAGTCCTGTGGACTTCAAACTCCTAGAATTCCCCAGCCAGCAACCCTGGGGAGTCGAAGCCCACAAGACTTAACAGTGGCCAAGGTTGGACACCCCCTGTCTCAGAAAGAGGATAGCGGGAGCTTGTGTGCTTTGGATTGAAAGGGTTGCGAACCCCAAATATGGCTGAGCTAGGAAGTCTGTTGGCTGGAATGTGGTGGGTCTCGTGTTTTCGGCGGTGCTTATCAATTTGGAAAATTCACGAGAGATTTTCAATGGCCCTCGGCACGAAGCCCTTTTAAAAGACGTTGCGTGGAGGTAGAACATAGAATGATAAGACTGGAAGGAACTTGGGAGGTCCTCTAGTCCAGCCCAGGCCAAGGCAGGAGACCCCATAGTACCATTCTGGACAAACGTCCGTCTCGTCTTTTTCTTGAAAACTTCCCTGGATTGGAGCCCCCACAATGTCTGGAGAGAAGCTAGGAAATTCCTCCTGAATTCCAGGTTGCTTCTCCTCCTGCCTCCTGGGGCTTTGGAGAATAAATTGACACACACACACACTCCCCTTCTTTGGGGCAGCTCCTCAAACGCTTCAATCAGAATGGAGCTGGAAGGGACCTTGGAGGTCTTCTAGTCCAGCCTCCTGCTGAAGCGGAGCAGAAGATATACAATCTCCAACAAGTGCCGCCTCTTTTTTTGAAAAGTTTTTTAAAAATTATTTTTATAACAAAAACAAAAACTAAACTATCTTTCTGTTCAACAATGTGTCAGTTGGGTATATATATCTTGTGCACATAGTGCCGTGTTTCTCATATAATAAGGCTGGGTCTTTTTTTTTTTTTTGAGCCCCCAAAAAACTGCTAGGCCGTCTTTTGGGGGGGGGGTGACTTAATTCCCCCACCCCCCTTGCATCTTCGGGCAGGCGGGCGGCGACGATGGCTTGGATGTTGACCTCGGCGTTGGTGGGGCACTTCGTATCGGGGTCAACGCAGGCAGCACCCTATCCGGGTGTGCAACAAAAGTGCTTCCTGACGGCAAGCCCCCCCAACATTCCCCCAACATTCCCCCCCCATTTCGCATGTTTTAATACAGGCCTTAATTTGGGGGGAGGGGCTTAATTTCATTCCATGCCTATAAAACATGCTGGGACGTCCTATTGGGGGAGGCCGTATTGTTGGAGAAACAGGGTAACTATCTTATATTATAATTGATAATGAGTTAGAGTAAGAAGGAATATGAAATGTAATTTTGAAAGACAATAATGTTAATCACAATACAATTGATAAACGTGATATAAAACACTGATTAGAATGGCTATAAATGTGAATAAACAAGTGACTCTTAAAAACCAAAAATCGTCCAGTGACGGAGCACCCGCCGCTTCTGGTGGCAAGCTGTTCCCCTGCTTAATTGTTCTTGCTGTTAGGAAATTTTCTCCTTAATTCCAGGTTGCTTCTCTCCCTGGTTAGTTTCTACCCGTCCCTTTCTCGTCCTGCTTTGGGGAATAAGGTGGACCCCCCTCCTCATCGTGGCAGTCCCTCACATACCTGAACACTGCTATCCCGCCCCTCCTCGGTCCTTCTCAGTTTGGTCTAAGATGCACCCCCTTCCCTCAACCGTTCATGATACAGTTAAGGTTGCCAAGACCCTTTAATCCAGGGATCTCCAACCTTGGCCACTTTAAAACGGGTGGACTTCAACTTCCAGAATCCTCCATTCAACCATAGCTCTTTTTTTCCTCTACTTCCTAGAGGGGAGAGATTGCAGAGGAAGGGATGACAAGAGAGGAAGCAGGAAGAGAGAGTGGAAGTCTTAGCGAAGCTGAATGGGGGAATTCTGGGAGTCGGAGTCCACCAGTCTTAAATCAGGGGTCTCCAACCTTGGGTACTTTAAGACTTGTGGACTGGACTTCAACTCCCAGAATCCTCCATTCAGCCATAGCTCATTTTTTCCCTACTTCCTAGAGGGGAGCGATTGCAGAGGAAGGGATGACAAAGAGAGGAAGCAGGCAGAGAGAGTGGAAGTCTTAGCGAAGCCGGCTGGGGGTGGAATTCTGGGAGTCGGAGTCCTCCAGCCTTAAAAGTTGCCAGGGTTGGAGACTCCCCTGCTTTAATCCGTCCCAGTGCGCCATCCTGTCTTTTCCCAGCCCTGGGAGCAACAGGTGTGCTTGCCATGTGCCAACCAGCGGGTGTAGAAACTTTACGTAGGCGTGTAGAGGCCTTGAGAGTCGCATTCTCCCTCCGGCAGGGTTTGTTTCCCTTCTTCCAAGCTTGCCCATCCAGCCAGTGCGTGGGCAGACCTTCTGCCCACTTCCGTCCTAACCTTTCTCTCCCCTTCCTCTTCCTCCTCCTCCTCCTCCCCGCCCCCCAGCGGTTTCCACAACACCTGATCCACCATGGCTGATGACCTGGACTTCGAGACCGGCGATGCCGGCGCCTCTGCCACCTTCCCCATGCAGTGCTCCGCCCTCCGGAAGAACGGATTTGTGGTGCTCAAGGGGCGTCCTTGCAAGATTGTGGAGATGTCCACTTCGAAGACGGGCAAGCACGGCCACGCCAAAGTAAGGGCCAGCGGTGTGTGTCTCGGTCGGGTGTCTTCTTTGGCGGGAGGGAAGGGAGGACCGTTTTGGGGAAACTCCCAGCGGCGTGCGGGTTTGCGTGTGCCCGACGGGTGTCGAGCGGGGTTTTCCCCTTGCTACTTTGGGTGTGTGTATGTGTGTTGCGTAGGGCCCATTGTGCGGCTGGCCAGACAGAGGAAAAGGACCAGCATCCTGGGTCTCTGGCCTTCATTTTTCCTTTGCAGACGTTTCATGACCCAACTAGGGAATGTCATCAGTGCTAGAAGGGAGGAACAACAACTGTGGGGTCCTTGGCGCTCTCTGAGCCGGGTTGGTTTTCTTGCAGACGTCTCATGACCCAACTAGGGGACATCATCAGTGTTAGGGAGTGGGGTTTACAGAGAGAAGGAGAAAGGAGGAGGATGATTATGGGGTCCTTGGGGCTTTCTGCCCATTTCTTGTAGACATTTCATGACCCAAGTAGGTAATATCATCCATGATGATAGAGTGGAATTGGCAGAGAAGAAGAAGAAGAGGGAGGAATTATTATTACTGTTATTATTACTACTACTACTATTATTACTACTACTATTATTATTAATTTCCTTTATTCATTAAACATGAAACTCAAGTCAACTGAACATTTTAAAATGTACCACAAATATTGACCGGCGCTGGTGGTTGATACAGGTTGCTGCCAGCATCCTAGCTATCAACCCAGTATCATCTTAAAAATATTTCTAAATAATCATAATTATCATTTTTATTAAAATGAAACTCCGTCAACTGAACATTTTAAAATGTATCGCCAATATCATTCGCTGGTGCTGTTGGTTGATCCTGGCTGCCACCAGGTATCGAGCAAGGTGATTATTGTTATTTACTTCCTTGGGGCTTTCTATACATTTCTTGTAGACGTTTCATGACCCAACTAGGTAACACCATCCATGTTAGTAGGGAGGAGGAGGAGGAAGACGATGGGGTCCTTGGTGCTCCCTGAGCTTGCTTGTTTCCTTGCAGGCGTTTCATGACCCATCTAGGGAACATCATCAGTGCTAGGACAGGAAGTGGGGGGGTTAACCAGCACGGGTGATGTTCCCTAGCTGGGTCATGAAACGCCTGCAAGGAAGCCACCAAGAAAGCCCCCCCCCCCGCCCCCCCCAAAAGCTACAAATATTCCCTTAGTGCCATTTTTCTGCTTGGCTAGGCGATGCCCCTCTGGTCCGATGCCACTTAGGAGGCCTGGATATTTCACACACACACACACACACACACACACACACACCACAGTCTTTGTTGGTCTTTTTGACCACAGTTGTCACTCCTTTCCTGAGCCGAGCCTTCCTTCGCTTTACGGAGCTGGCTACGCAGGCTCAGGTCAGCTTGCAGTTAGCACCAAAAAAACAAAATTGCTGTATTCTGCAAGGGAAATTTTAAAATAAAAAAAAACCCTTCCCCAGTCGCCCCATTAAGTTCTGACGATGGGATGTGGGGTACGAGAGTTTGATCCCCCAGAATGGATCAGAATGGAGCCATTCAAAGTTACCTGCCTCTTCATCATGAATCTTCCTGGCCTGGGTGATCCATGATAGCCCTGGACAATTCGTTCCAAGTTTCGGGGGAAGCATGACTTACGACCGTTTGGTCACACTTAACGACCGTCACACTGTCTCCACGGTTGCAGGATCAAAAATCCGGCGCTTGGCACAGCCAGTTCGCGTTTACAACGGTCACAGCGTCCCACGGTTGCGTGATGCTCTCTTGCAGCCTTCTGACAAGCCAAGCCAATGGAGGACGGGGAGGGGGAAGCAGGATTCACTTAACAACCACGTGTCTCATTTAACAACAGCAGGGATTCATGTTAACAACCGTGGCAAGGAAAGGTGTCCAAACGGGGCCAAATTCAACTCCCTTTGCACAGCCTCGGAAAGGTTGAGCTGAATATGTCGTCATAAGTTGAGAACTACCTGTAATCCACTGGGTGGGTGGATTTCTTGTGACTACAACGGTTGTTAAGTGTGAAAAAAGCAGTCATAAGTCAGTTTTGCCAGTGCCGGAGTCACTAAACAAGTCAAGGATTATTCCAACAAAGAGTCTCTCCGGAGACCAGAAGCCAAATTTTAATTTCTTACCCACAGAACACCCAAGCAAGTCCGGCCCACCTTCAATGCTAGAGATACCAGGTAGTCCTTGACTTACAATCGTTCGTTTAGCGACGGTTCGAAGTTAACGATGGCACTGAAGAAAGGGACTTGGGACCGCTTAAACACACTTAACGACCGTTGCAGCGTTCCCCATGGAGAGATGATTTAACTTCAGGCGCTTGGCCACTGGTTCGCCTTTATGACGGTCGCATTGTCCAGGTGACCTGATGGGGAAAGCCAGATCCGTTTAACGACTGGGCTAATAATTTAGCAATTGCAGCGACTCGCTTAACAAACGGGCAGGAAAGGGCACAAAACGCAACACACACACACACACACACACACACACCGGAAGCTGTCTGGACTGCAAGCTTCCCCCCAACCCCCCCAGTCCTATTGTGAGGTGGTAGACGAGACACACATTTCTCAACCTCACCAGCATTTTAAGATGTGCGGACGAAAGGGGGGGGCGAAGGGGGGGTGAAATTACTGGGAATGGAGAGGCTCCCCCCCACCCGGGAGTGGGAAAAGCCCCCGCCAGCCCTTTGGGGTGGGGTGGAGGAGAAGATCGGAGCAGGGCAACAGAGAAAGGGGTGCCCTGCTGTTGGAAAGGGGCCACCTTGAGCTGTTTCGCCAGGCAGGGCTGCTACTTCCTCCTCCTCCCTTCTAGCACTGATGATGTTCCCTAGTTGGGTCATGAAATGTCTGCAAGGAAACCACCCAGCTCAGAAAGCATCTACCTACCTTCCTCCCTCCCTCCCTTCCCTTCCCTTCCCTTCCCTTCCCTTCCCTTCCCTCCCTCCCTCCCTC